GCAGGAATCGAAGCACTTATTTGTGTCCAATCTTTGTTGTCACCATAGGACCAGAAGCGATCATATACATCATCCTTGTACCTGTCAGGAAATCAAAACGAAACAAAACATAACTTTGAATACAAAATATCGAGAACATGTTTGAATACAAGTTATAAATACAAGAGTTTTTAAGAATTTTTCTATTTTTTTAATATTTTTTTAGTAGAAAAATTTTCAATTTTTTTTTTTAATTTTGTATTTAAATAGACTCTAAATTCAAAAGTATGGGTTCACCTGTAGCCTTTGTTTGAACCTAAATCCCCCCTGTAGTAAGTTTCCAATGAATATGATCTAAATTCAGTGACATAAATATCATTTGTCAAAGTTCTCAATTCTATGGCTGATATAAATGGTGTGCCCTTGCCTATGTCAACCAGACAGATTTGTACGTAATCATGTGATGGTACATGTATGATTTCCTTCCTTCGCGAAAGGGATTCATTGTATATAATCACTGTATCCCACCGGTTAGCCCCAAGAAGAAGATCAAACTGTGGTAACTTTTTTAGGTCATCATAGTTTCCGTACAAGAAAAAAGTCTTGATCATATAATTAGAGCCTCTTGTGATGTTTATTTTGTAGCAGTTCCTTATTCCTTCAGGAAAGCTTCTGACACTCTTCAGTGGTCGTATATAGTCATTTCCCAGTTCAGGTGCTATTGTCCCACTGACACCCGTACTTATGAAATTTGCATCTGAAGTGTAATTTATGCCTGTTGATGAGTCAGTATAGTTCTCATCTGCTGGAGCTCCGCAATCTATGCTGATAAATCCTAAAACATCATAATAAATGCATATATGCATGAGATTTGAGCATTACTAGAATTTCTCTTATTACATGCGACTTTTTTTACAAATTTTTATGAAAAATTCTTAGGAAATGTTATTCCAACAAGTTTTTCTGCAAAATTTTATTTGCAAGTAATACTTTCGTGAATAATATATTTTTTTAAGAAAAAAATTTGCAGGAAAGTTTCATGTGAGTTTTTTCGCAAGAAATTCTGCAGAAATATTTTTTACGAAAAAAATTAAAGAAATTACTATAAATTCTATCGATAATTCTTATGCTCACAATGAATTCATTCGAAACATTTGTTTCCATGCCTACAACATGTGATACATAACCTTTTAAATTCTAAAATTGTAGAATATAAGCCTAACACTCAATTATACAAATCATCTTATAAGGTAAGTGTTCCTCCAACTTATATACTCTTTAATTGTTTTATTTTCAATCGATGTGAGACTTGAAGTTTTTTTAAAATATTAAACTTATAAATTTAAATATATTTTTTATTTTTTCTGCAGATTAAAATTTGCAGAAAAATCCGTAGGAAAGTTACCTGCAAAATTTTTCTACTATGTAGTAAACATTACTTGCGAATTTATTTTTGCAAGAAAATCTGCAAAAAAACAAAATAAAATTCTTACAATATTTTTTGTAAATTTTTATCATGAAAAAAATTTCTATGATCATTAAAATTGTAACAAAATTTGCAAACATTTCTTGCAAATTATTTTTCACAAAAAAATTTGTAAGAAATATCTGTAAATTATTTTTCGCAAATAAATTCGTAAAAAAAATTTATGAAATTATTATTATAAGAAAATTCACAAAAAAAATTTGTAAATATTATTTTGTAGAAAAATTCGCAAGAAAATAACACTTTTTTAACATTGGAGGCTGCAGCTAAAGTTTTATTAAATAATGATATAATCAAGTTAATGTTTTGTTATCAAACCTGATTGGTCCTGAGCATGAATCAGAACAGCAAGAACTAGAACTCCTAGAAAACCAACAAGGAAACAACTCCACATTCCCATTTCTTATCAGCTTCTGCCTTCTTGCTTTGAAGTAGAATGTGACTAATATGAGATTGCCTTGTTCTGACTTATATACTAGAAAAGGGTTTGTGATTTGGCGACGTGGTCAATTTTCAACATGGAGGTAAGTCTAACAAGTTTTTGTACTTCTTTAATATATTTTGTCCCTTTCCATTTTAGTCTAATTGCTCATTCTTCATTGCAGCTAGCGCATGTGGTAGTAGGTACATCCACTTGCTTAACTTAAAAATTCATGTCATGCTCATCACTTGTCACTCATGCACTTGCATCATAAGACTAATACTACATTCACTGGCCAACCAATGTAAACGGAAATAAAATCTACTTAAAAACATATCAATGGACGCATCTTAACTAGTATCAAATTAAGAAGAAAATGTCTACGTATATGCATGTGCTGTGAACTTTATATATATTTGGAAATATGAAAGGCTTTTGAAATCCGGTCGGTGTTTACTGACCTGATCCAACAATCTTATAATAATCCCATTTGCTGATAGAACCTACAAATAATGCAATTATACATGTCTCACGTTTTATGCTATCTCGTCCTGTAATTGAGGGATATAAATGTACAAGGTACTACTTATAAAAAGAGTAGTGGCTAACATTTCTAAGTAGGCACACTAACTGCCATATACACTCCCAACCTAACACAATGATTTTGTGTATTGAGTGTTTTTGTAAGTACTCATCCCTCCAACCACTCAAGTTTTGGACAAAAAATATTCGAGCTTACAAAGCTGAAGGAGAGAAAACCATGGAACTTAACCTTTTGATTTAGTAAATTATTTGTACAAATCCACCTTGAAGAGTTAGGCTATTGGTGGTTTTCAAGTTAAATTTTCCAGAATCACATTGAAATACGGCTAATGTAATTTTAGATAAATATTTAAGCCATTATTTAAAATATAAACAACTAAAATAAATTTTGATTCTAAGATGAAAGAAAAAAATTATCCTGTAATAAATTAAATGTGTCCACAAGGTCAACCATTTTAACAGTATAGAGTTGTGTTAAGATTTGCATCTCCAAGCAATCATTCATTCTATTATCTTTGAGGTTGATTGCAAGTCACTGTAGATATTTTTTCTTTCAACACACTAGGAAGTTCTTAATTTTATTTTATTTTGACAAAATGCAAATATCCTTTAATATCTATTCCAAATTTGATAGTGAGTTATGTTATAAGACGAACATATCAAGTGGTCAATTCTTTAATTAAGACATTTAGATTTTATGTGTTATTAATTATTTGTTCGAACGTACTTCAACCTTATTTTATTTATAATATTATCAAGAATGAAATAAAGCAAATTTCTTTTTGAAGAAATAATTGCATCTAGTTATTTATTTAAATTATAATATAGAAGTTGAAGTAATTTACATGTTATCTTGTTATAATTTTTTATGAATAAAAAGAATCAAAACATTTTCTACTTCCGTGGCTTTTAAGACACGGTGCAGCGGAAAATGAGGTATAACTCAATAACTCATTCTCTTCGGGTCCATTTTTATAGGGATAAAGCATATTTTCAATCACTACTTTATATCCAAGTCAAAGATTGAAGCCTAATCATTGGTTAAGGATTACGAGTGTAGAACTAGTTTTCCCAAAGATCTTTAGTATTTTCTTTTATTCATCAAAATTACAATGATAACAGAAATTAAACTTTGGACAACCCTTGATGTTATTTAAAGTTATATGAGCCATGGTATTTCATTTTTTTTAGTTACGTATAGTTTAATTAAGACAAGATACAATCTCATGCACAATGAGATAATCACCAACTTCTTTAAAATTTTTTAGTAAGATTACAAATGATGTACCACATCTCAAGTGTAAGTTCACCTCAAGTGTAAGTTCACATCAAAGGATATAAATCATAAGAAAAATCGAATTCAGTTCCCCGTCAAGAGGCATGAGAGTGCTCCTACTAAGCCTCTACATCTTTTATACTCGAGGTTGATGTTCAAGTGTATCCTCCTAATCTTTTGCTGAGAGGATATGACAAAGTGTCTAGTCGAGTAACCCATCACTAATACCTCTACTTGTAAAATAACTAGACACTTATCCAACTCAAAATCATGTTTGATACAAAATCTAGTTATAAATGATCATGATCGGATCGCACACCAAAATAAAATATATAATAATGGGTAAGTTTCTACAAATTTTTGAGATTTTCAGGACCTATAAAGGCACAATAGTTAGGTATAAAATCCTCATTCTAAAATAAAGATAAAATAGAATACATTTTTGAATGCTTTTTATCTCTGATGCATTTTCCAAACTACAACAAAAACGAAGGGATTTAATCAACTATGCTACCCTTGTGGATCATATGTCCCATGGTATATTGATCTTTCAAGATTTTAGTCAACAAGTTAATTAAAAATCGGTTAAAATACAATTTTACTTCTTATAGGGAGGTGTATTGAATTAAGATTTTGAAAGATAATTTTAATGTGAAAAAGTCTTGTGGATTTTAATAGATTTTAAAATATTTTGTAGGATTATTTTAAAAAATTTAAAACTTGCATTTTAATCAAGACTTTGTAATTCAAATTTTAATAGATTTTAATAAATTTTGATAGATTTAAATTATAAGGTTTTAAAGGATTTTATGGATTTCATAGGAAAACATGGATTTGTAATACTACAAGATTTAATAAAAAAATATATAACATAAATAATAGAGAAAAGTAAAACCAACACAATTTTTCTATCTTTTCACAAATAATTACCTGTATCTTTTGAGAAATAATTGGCTTTTATGTCTTTCTAATTAATATTTTTTACGTATCTAAAGTTATATTAGTTCTCAATGCATTGACATATTTTCTTTTATGCACTTGAGTTTGAATAAAATGATTAAAATTATAGTCTTCGTTAACTAGTAGCATTGAAGATGAAGATTTATCCATTAATTTAATTGAAAATTTATCAAAACAATATTCTTTGCAAAGAAAATTATGTAGCACTACATGCTAATACATGTTCAGCTTGTATCTTAGATAGAAATAGAGACTTTGATTTAAAAATTGTGAAATATGATTTGAAAATACTAAATATTCTTTCAATTTCATCACTTAAGGATGCATGACGTAAATTAAAAACTTTATTTTCATTTTAAGGGTTATTACCATGACTCGTAAAGTTTTTTTAATATATGTTTCAAAATTTTATATTTCAATTAAATTTTATTAAAAATAAATAGTTAAATTTTAATAATTTAAAAATGTTAACAATAAATAATATTTAATAACAAAAATTATTTTAAATATTTAATTATAAAAAATAAATATTAGTAAATTATACATCAATTGATAGATAAAACAGATAGAAGAAAAAGAGATAAATGAAATAGATGAATAAAAAAAGATAGAGAAAAAAGAGAGAGAAAGAGAAAGATAAGCAAAAAAGGCAGAGAGTGAAAAAAATATGAGACCAAGAATAAGAGATAAATGTGAGATAAATAAAAAAGAAAAAAATAAGATAGAGAAGGAAAAAAAGAGATAAAGAAGAATAGCGAGAGAGAAGAGAAAAAAAAAAGAATATGAGAAAGAAACAATAAAAGCAAGAGATTTAAGACAAAGAAAAAATAAAAATAGTAGAAATAAAAATGAAAAAAATCATATAAAATTTTAAAGATTTTGGTGAAATTATTTGACGAGTGAGTTACATATAAATTATATTAAAAAGTCTTTCAAAATCTATTATTCAAAATAATCCATTGAATTCTTCATATTTTTGAATACCAACATATTTTTTTAAGTAAAAAAGTCTTAATTAAATATAATAAAATTTTGATGAACTCTTAAAAAAATCTTATTATCTTAATTGAATACTACCATATTTTGATAGACTCTTAAAAAAATTTTAATTCAATATCACATAACTTTTTTTATATTAAAAAAAATCTTGATTTAATATTACAAATAAAATAATCTTTTAAAAATCCATTGAAATTCTTATCTAATACATTCATAGTTTTACTTTAACTTTTATAGTTTAAAATATACATTTAGTTCCTATATTATAAGATAATTTTTTTCAATCCATATGCTTACCATTTTAAATCTTTTAGGTCTTTGTCTTTAATTTCTTTGTAAAACTATCTATTTTATTTTGAAGTGATCGAAGTTTTTAACTTTGTATTTTTTTTTATATAAAAGTTATTTTGGTAAAGTTATCATAAATTTCATCTCTTCATAGTCATTATCTTTTTTTTTTTCCCCTTCTTTTATCTTCCCTTGCAACACATATGGTTGAAACACTCATTGTTTAAATTTTTACAAAAAAAGGCATGAGTTTCCAAAGAAATTAAAGACAGAGACTCAAATTTTTTTTTTTTTAAAAGTACATACATAAATTTAAAATGTCTATCTTATACTTTATTAATTAAAAAATATAAAAATTAAAAATATATAATTTAATTTATTGAGACTAAAAAGTAAATTAAGAAAAATTATATTTTAACCTTAAAAATCTAATTCATCATTCAACACTATATTGGTTCTTTAAAGAATTTATTGAGAAATTAAAGCTTTAAAAATTGAATTGATTACTGATGTAAATATGAATGTTAGTGTGGGCTATGGCGGGGATTTCTTACGTATCACTAACAGTTGGATGCAGAACATCTCTCCACTACATGGCTTCGTCTTCACAGACGAAAAAGGAATAAATTCTTAAACCCCTTTCCTTCTATGCTGTCGCGTGGTGACTCGGGAAGCAAGTCGTGGTGTGTGGGAGAGCAAGTGGGGGAGGAAGTAATATGGTAACGATTAATTTATGATTCTCTGTTTTTTTTTTCCCTTTCTTTTCCTTTCTCTATTTTTTCAACTGTTATGACGCATTAATCCGTTCATGTGATATTTTGGTTTATGTGATCTAAAATGATAAATTGTTTGGATCCTGGAAAAGTCATGAAGCGAGAATCAATGCATTGTGAAATTTGGATAAATATTCTCCTCCCTATTGCTGGTCGGTCATGGGCTGAGAGAGAGTATTCAGAATTTCAGATTGTATTATTATTATTATTTTTTTTTTCTTCTTTCATTGGGTAAATAATTGAGTCAATTCTGGAAATGACATGGGCACCAAATTCAGGAATGCAACTGTTAGTCTAGTAAATGTTAAATATGAATCCCAAACCTACTAGAAGCTAGCTAGGCAAGCTATGAATGCACATGGTGTGTCATTAAATATAATACCTCAGTTTACAACTTAGTTTTGGAGATCCTTTTAAATGAGTTTACTGACTAGGTTGGATATGATCACTGCTTTTACCCTCAGAGGTCTGAAAGGACAATACGAATTTTGCTTATAAAAAGAATTATCAATGTAGTATTTATTTTGGAGGCATCATTTGAGATTATATATGGAAAGCGTTGTAGACCACCAATTAGTAGGTTTGAAGTTGGAGAATTTAGACCTATGCTGTGAGTCCATATTTGATTCAGGAGGGGCTAATCTATATATAAAATGTAGATATTGCCTCATGAGTATATGATATTTCACTTGTCTCTTGATTAAAATCTTTTAAGAAGCAAGTCCTTTTACAAACAATATATATTTTTAAAATATGAAGTTACATTCATTCAAATATGAACGCAAAGTAAAAACACCAATAATAAATAATTCTACATCGAAATTCATTCCTAACTATTTATTTTTCTTCTATTTGCACACTCCATTTTAATCACCAATCCTAAAAACAGTCACATGGAGGACATTTATAACACTTAAACAAGTATCACTCAAAACAACATGCAAATTAAAGGGTCTATTCACAACTAGTGTGGTGTCACTTTCACTTGTGTGGCTTGATCTCATTCTGGCATTGCAAGAGGAAAACCACTCTTGAGTATAGTCATCTTATCTTGGGCAATGTTTACCTAGCCTGGGGAATAAATTCAGTATTCAGATTCACGGTGACAGGTTTAATTGAATCTCTAGTATCGGCACTGCTGTATTTAGTCCGACCTAATTCCATTGCTAAAGACTCCTTCAGTTCGGTGACTATCTCACTTATGATTGGCCTGTTGTTGGGATTTGGAGACACAGAGGCCATTGCTATTTCTACTACTTTCCAGACTGAGTTACTATCAAACTCTCCATCTAACCTTGAGTCAACAATGGCCTTGATATCACCTTTCGCAACCAAGGATTTAACCCATTCACTTATATGAGTTTTTTCTTGATTTTTTGTTATCACTGGTTTACTTGTGATTATCTCCAAAAGAACAACACCGAAGCTATAAACATCACTCTTCTCTGTTAATCTATTGGTTGTGTAGTACCTGCAAGACAAAGAATATAACTCAATTTATTTTGTCAGAATTTGTGGATATAAACATCCACATAGATTTACTATATTTTACATCAAAATGATGGATAGGAATAGGACAATATAATTGAAGTACTCACTCAGGGTCGAGATAACCCGGAGTACCGGCAATAACAGTTGACACATGAGTTCCCCATTCAGATGGGATAATTTTGGATAGACCAAAATCAGATAACTTTGCTTGAAAGTGTTCATTCAACAAGATGTTTGTAGATTTTATGTCCCTGTGGAATATAGGAGGCTTGCAACCATTTTGCAGGTACTCCAATCCTGAGGCCAAAAATATATTGAGAGAGGAAAGGAGGAGTTAATAAAAGACGGTAATAAATGTACTTTCTGACCTGAGGCTGCATCCACTGCAATACGAAGTCTGTCTTCCCAGCTGAAAAATTTTGTTTTGCTGCGTTTACCTGCAGAATCAAGTTATATAACTTTTTGTAAGTGTTGTTTTTTGTTGACTAATACAATTGTCAAATAAGGCGGTTGGGAAATACAAAACTCGTTTGGAAATTTATTTAACAATAAATTAATTTTATATGGGAAACTAACCAGAAAGATGTTCTTGTAAGTTTCCATTAGCCATGTACTCATATATGAGACCCTTATTGGTTCCTTCATTACAATAACCAATAAGGGAGGTCAAATTTTTGTGATGAACTCTCATTAGAAGTTTAACCTGTAAATAAATTCACAACCATGTTTAACCATAATATATTTTTTGCTGATCTAAAAAACCTAGTGTAAGGTGATTAAACAAGTACCTCTGCTTGAAATTGTTGATAACCATGAACAGCTGAAGGGGAAAGCATTTTCACTGCAACAGGAGTGTCATCGATATAGCCTAGATAAACTGTTCCAAATCCTCCTTTACCAACAATTGTGTTGAAATTGTTGGTGATTTTAAGGACATCAGAGTATGAATATATTTGTTTTTTTAATTGCAGTAATGAATCGTCTTGTTCTGTGTATTGTGGTGAGATCTGACTTTGATGCTTTTCTTCCATCAAAGCTGTTTGATATCGTACAATTGTTTTGAAAACTCTCAGGTTACGATTGAATATTTATAGCAAATTATAGATTAAAATTACGAATCTTTTTTTTATTGTATCATTACCTTTTGATTTTCTCCTTTTATTAAGGGTCCACAAAATTGCCAAGACCACTAGAAGAATCAGAACCCCACTAATTGATGCTACTAATGGCATAACAATGTTCTTTTTGTCGTCCTTGGCATTGCATTGATCAGATTCACATAGATATGGATTTTGGCCCACACTAACATGGAATTCACAGAAGATTTATGTTTTAAGTCTCAGTAAACCTTACAAGTCATTGATATTTTCAAAAGATGCTAAGAATCATTTTGTTTGTGCCTAGATATTCAGTGGATCAACAACTGTCTATGGCAAAGCATAGGCGATATCATTATTATTTAACATGTGAACTAACTTAAAGAGTTATGGATTCAAATCTTCTTGTGATATGTCACGGGAATCAAGGTCCACAGACTCCACACAGATGAAAATGGTGTATAATTTGGTGTAATGCATGATCCGATGAATTAAAAAAAAATCAAAATAGCAAGTGTGATTAAGAAGATAACTGCAAAATATTGAACAGAGATAAAGAAGGTTTATGTAGAAAACTAAAATAAAACCAATTGATAATCGTCACCATAAATAACGATATTATGAATTTGAGAATTTCCAATAAGATCCATACCTTAGTGAGATTGGACCTTCCTTAAGTGCAGGTGGAATTGAACCAGAGAGGTTATTCTTCTCCAGGTTTCTGCCGAAACACTGAAACTATAAATTCCTTTTCTATCTTTGATATAACATACTTGCTCTAGTAACTGACGACATAACTTACAAGATCTTCAAGTGTTGTAATTGAGACAGAAAATCGGGAATTTCGCCGTTTAAGCTATTGTTTGATAAATCCCTGTAAAACATATAACTTGCCCCTAGTGTTTAAACGTTGACACACGTACCAAAAGACATTTTGACAGTTAAGTACATACCAGAAAGAATAAAAAGATTTAAGATTAGAAGTTTTTTCTGATTTCATTATTAATTGGACCAGGTGAATCAAAAAAATAAATACAAAAAAACAAAAAAAAAAAAAACTCACAACTTCTCCAACATGGTGAGCTTTGAGATAGAAGGGTCTATCTTTCCTGACAATCCACTTGAAGATAAATCCCTGTTTTGCTCAACAACCAATAGTTATATATGTTATAATTCCAGTTTTATAAAAGCAATAATTTTAATTTCAGAAGCATTACTCACAAAGTTGTGATTCTTGGGGACTCATTTCCGGGATAAGTGCAATTCAAACCATGCCACAAGTAGGCTACAGGGGCACATGGATCACCTTGCCAATCTCTTGTCACCCCATAAACTGACTTGATGGTGGTAATTGCATCAACTATTTATTCAAAGCAAAAAAAAAGGTAAAAAGGTGGCTAAGATCATATACAATTGTGTAAACCAATGAAATGGTATGACAAATCATATTTTGGTGGATTACCATCTCCTTGGAGAGTATCTGCTTGCTGGAAGTCTTTTACTCTATAAATTTCAATGGCACTGATGATAGGAGGCAGGGTTGAGCTTTTGGTCCTCTCGAAGGAATATTTAATTTCTTTTCCACTGATAGCTGACTGGCTGTATATAGTGAATGCACTAAGGTACGGTGGAGAAAAATTTCGATACCATGGCTTTCCGTTCTCTGTGATTGTGAATTTTCTTGTCTGATTCTTTGCTAACTCTTCAAACTCGGTGAAGTGCATGTAAACATAGAATTGATCAGTTTCAGCTAGTGGCTCCCAGCTTATTACCAATGGAGCACTACCATTTGCTGGTGTAACTGCGGTGCTCAAGACCACAGCTGGCGGTTGGTAATCGTTCTGGATTATAGACATAGCTGGAATCAAAGTATTTAGTTGTGTCCAATCTTGCTTGAAGTCACAGGTACCCCAGAAACGATCATACACATCATACTTGTACCTGTGAGAAAATGAACGTATCCAATAGAATCAATCAATTTATTTAATTAAAAGGTTTAATCCTAAAGTATGAGTTCGTTCACCTGTAGGAGCTGTTTGAACCTAAATCGCACCGCCAGTAACGTTGCAGTGATCCAAATTCAGTGACGTATGTATCATTTTGCAAAGTCCTCAATTCTATGGCTGATATAAATGGTGTCCCATCGCCTGTGTCAACCAGACATATTTGTACATAATCAAGTGAAGGTACATATATGATCTCCCTGGCTAGGTAAACGGATGCATTGTATATACTTATTGTATCCCATCGGTTAGGCCCAAGAAGAAGATCAAACTCTGGTAACATCTTTAGGCCATCATAATTTCCATACAAGAAACTAGCCCGAATCAGATAAGTAGAGCCTCTTGTGATGTTTATTTTGTAGCAGTTCCTTTTTCCTTCCGGGAAGCTTCTCACAGTCCACAGTTGTCGATAATAGTTACTTTTGAGTTCAGATGCTATTGACTTACTCACACCAGTATTTATGAAATTTGCATCTGAAATATAATTTATGTCTGTATAGGACTCAGTATAGTTCACATATGCAGGACCTCCGCAATCTATGCTGATGAATCCTAAAACATGAAAATACATATATATGCATGTGACTTGAGGCTTCAGACAGTTTTATTAAATAATGATATAATGAAGTTAATGTTTTGTTATCAAACCTGATTGGTCCTGAGCATGAATCAGAACAGCAAGAACTAGAACTCCTAGAAAACCAACAAAGAAAATCCTAGACATTCCCATTTCTCATCACCTTCTGCCTTCTTGCTTTGAAGTAGACAAATAAGAAATTGCCCAGTTCCGACTTATACTACAAAGGGGTTTGTTTTTTGGCGACGTGGTCAATTATCAACATGGAGGTAAGTCTAATTATTGCATTTCTATAATTTTTAGTCCCTTTCCATTTTAGTCAAATTATTCATTGTTGCTTGCAGCTAGCGCAGTACGGCAGTACGTAGGTACATCCGCTTTGCGTAATTTAGAAATTCATGTCATGTTCATCACTTGTCACTCATGCACTTGCATCATAAAAATAATACTACATAATTCACTGGTCGATTAATGTAAGTGGAAATAAAATGGATGCATCTTAACAAATATTAAATTGACAAGAAAATGTCTATGTATCTGTTGGAAATATAGAAGGCTTATGAACTCCGGTCGGTGTTTAATGACATGATCCAAAGTTGAATGCCTTATTATAATCCCATTTGCTGAGAGAAGACTACTAATAGTGCCAATACAGGATTTCAAGATCGTCATGCACTCGTGCCATTATTATACATGTCTCACATTGCATGTTGTCTCGCCCCGCAAATTTAAGGATATAAACGTACAACCTATAAAAGAATCTAACACTCAATGCACAAATCCATCTTGAAGAGTCAGACAAATGGCATCTTAGTGGGCATTTGATTTCAGGTCGAAATACGGCTATTTTGATTTTAGGTAAATATTTGCTTGGTTTTTTGGATCTAAAATTGATTTTGGTTTAAATAATAGCTTGTGTTGGGTAAAAAAAATTATACTAAATTATACTACCAACTTACTTTAAGAACAAAATTTTTTAAATATAAATTTCATTGCTTCAAAATTAATTTTAACTAAAATAATACTTTAATCCTAAATAGAGTTACACCTTCTTATTATACAAAAGAAAATATAATAAAGACTAAAGAATATCTTTAGTCCTTAATCTTATATTACTAAAACCTATTTTAGTCATTTATAATTCAAAAAAATTATTTTGGTGCTTTAACTTTTAAATTTGAAAGTGTTGCCCTTCCAAAACATAGATGTTTTTTTTCTTATTTATTTTAAAGCGTGGTATTAAACTATTTTCTAAATAAATGGAGATGTGCAACTTATTTCATTAAATTCACATATATAAAAATTAAAAATAATAACACAAAATATCTTTAATTTTGTTATAGGATACACACTCTAATAACATATTCTAATAAGTGGTAAAAAAATGAAGCACATAATAATATAATTTTTAAACATAATATGTAAAATAAAATATTTTAAAAAAATTAATAGAATTGCATCACAATTAATTTGTGTATGTTTTTGCTGAGAGATGATAATCTCTAAATTTAATCTTATTCTCCTTAATTAGTCATATATATAACTATACGCATGTATATATACATATACATAAAAACTTAAAAGATAAATTTGAAGTCGAAGTCATATAATATACAAAGTGATGGAGAAAAAAATTTACTTTAAAAATAATATATAATTGTTTTAAGCTTTTCTTACACTTTATTAAATAAAAAAATATATATTTTATCAAAAAAAATACTTTAGAAGAAAAATAAAATAGAAATGACAATAATTCTACTTATGTTGAAGTAATATTAGTTTTGTACCTGGTTTTCTGATTACTGAACTTGTTTGATTATTAGATGACATTTTATGGTCCTAGTTTTGTAATGGTGGTAGACATTACAATCTGGTGATTACCTTTTGTATGAATTACGTTGAATTTTGTTTAGGTGACTTTGTATTTTGTAATGGGTTGGGGTACCCCTTGTACTTCTCTTAATTTATTTTGCTTATCAAAAAAAAAATGTTGAAGTAATATTTTGTCAAAAAAAATAATCTCTTTAAAAAACAATTATCATGATAAAGAGATTAAATGTAAAAATTATAAAATTTATTAAGATTACATTACATAATTTAAAGAAATCACATCTAAAATTAATAAATCAATTAATAAAATGGTATATTTTAACATATTCTTTAAATATCTCTAATTTAAATAATTATTTATATATCCTTTAAATATTATTAATTTAAATAATCATTTATTTATTATCGTTTTTAGTATAATAAATCAGGCCCTTTCTAATTCCGTGGCTTTTAAGACACGGTGCAGTGAAAAATGCCATGGAATCATAACAACTAGCTTTTATTTATTATTATATGAATATATTTTGTCATATACAAAGGAAAAAGGATTACATCACATTCTGTGTAAATTAGAGCTGTCACATATTGTAAAATGGATGAAATATAGAAGAATCCAATTAATTAGAGCTATCACATTCATTACAAATTAGGAATATATATTTGTCTTCGTCATATTCTCTGCTTACTAAGTCCAAAGGATGTCGATTGTCTAACCAAAAAAAGTCTTAAAAGATGTCAATTCCAAATACACACCAAAGATATAAAAGTAAACCTGCTATCTAAATCATCAGATTAATCTATCAAGATTTTAGTCAACTAGTTTATTAAAATTATAATTCATCATTCAACACTACATTAGTTCTTTAAAGAGTTTCTTGTCAAACTAAACGTTTAAAATTACCCAAGTATTGTAACAAAATTTTAATCCTTTTGTGTCATATACATTAATCCTGTATATAATTAAATATAAATATGGCCTTTACCTCAAATTTGGGCTAACTTCGTGCACTCTCCTCCACACGACCCACAACTAAAAAAACATATATATATATATATATACACACAAAAGTCTCACTTTTAAAATTTAAAATCATATTACATCAATTCTAATCTTAATCAATGTAAAAACTCCCTTTTACATTGATTCTACTTTGAACGGACGTAAAAAAATGTTTTACATTGATTATTTCAAAGTTGATATAAAATAATTATTTTAAATTAATTACAAAAATTGTTACCGTGTGATGTATTACATCAGTTCTATATAGTTTGTTTCACTAGTATTAGTAGACACAAGTTTTGGAAAATTAATGTTATGATTCGTATATTTTTGAATTATTAATTTAAAAGCTTGATCGATGTAAAATAATAAGAGGATTCAAAATTGTCGGTATGTGAACGTGTTGAATTTTGTTTTTCCGTTTGCAAAAAATAATTAATAATATTTTTTAATAATAAAAATATTAATTTTTTTAAAATATTAAAATTAATGTTATGAAAATTGAATACATGTGAAATGCAAGGAGCAAAATAATCCTTAAATTCTATATTTTTGGAAGAAAAATTACAATTATAAAATTTTAGTTCGTTTTAAAATCTTGAAAAAATAGAGGAAGTATATGTGAAAGGGATGGTACTTTAAAAAAAAAATTGAACGTTGAAGGTAAAATGATAGGAAGAGATGCATGTGAACGGGTGAGTGTTTGGAAAGAAAAAAAAAAGAACTTAAAGGTAAAGAAATTAATGAATAAAAACATTAAAAGTATTTTTGGAGAAAAAAGTATTATAGTGATGTATTGTTAATGATATACGCACCTCCTTTATTTTATAAGTATACCTTTTTTTTAAAAAAAATCTTAAAAATATTCTTAAATTTTTTTATTCTCTAATTTTTTAATTTTACATTTCTAATTTTCAATATAGAACTTTTTTCTTTTTCACACACATCCTTTCTTCTTCCTTTCGATTTTCACATGTATTCATTTATCTTCCTCTTATTTTGCATCTATTATAGTAAGTAGTTTCTCCTATTTTCAATTTCCAAGTGCATCTAAGTCGTAGAATTGGTGTGTGATGGTCTTGTAGGCACATGTTTTAAATCTAGGCATATTAAAAATATGAAACATGTGTTTTTTTTAACATTTTTTTTTCACACTTTTAGAAGTCTCAACATTAAATTTAGTATTCTGAAAAACACTCTCCAGAACATTAATTTCAATATATTGGAAAGTATTTTTTAGAACACTAAATTTCTTATTCCGAAAAGTACTTTATGAATTTAGAAAGTACTTTTTAGTCAGAAAGTATTTTTTGGGAGTGTATTGTTTTATATAATTCTAAAAAGTTTTTTTTTTATAAAATAGTAAATTTAGTATTACGAGAAATATTTTCTAAAAGTATGTAAAAAAAACACAATTCTAAAATAAACTTTCCGAAACACTAATTTCACTATTCTTAAAAATACTTTTTGGAACACTAAAAAATTAATGCTTTGAGAAAGTGTTTTTTGTAATTCTAAATTTAATATTGTGTTTTCTAGAAGTTTAAAAGGAGAGGAAGTGTTTGACGAACAAATACAAGTTTGAGTTGACACCTTTGACACTTTCGAAAAAGTTGTACGTACTTACAATATTGTCATGCACTAGTTTTACATTTTAGGTATGTGTGAAAAAACAGATAATATTGTTAAAAACTAAAAAAGAGGAAGAAGGGAATAATATAAAAATTAAAAGAATGAAAATTATTTACTAAAATAGGTGAAGAGTAAGCGAGAAATGCATATAAAAACTAAAAGGAGGAAAGAGGGAGATGTATGAAAAAGAAGGAGAAAATGCTAAATTAAATAAATTAAAAAAATTTAAGAACAGGTGATTTTGGGTGGGAGTGCGAGCAAGTAGGTGATTTTGGAAATATCAATATGGAGAGGAAGTTAAGAATTAATGTGGTAACGATTAATATGTGATTGATTGTGATTTTTTTTGTTTTTGCTCTCCTTTTATTTTCCACCTCTGTTATGTTGCATTAATCGGTTTATGTGAGATTACTTGTTTGATCTGTGGAAAAGTCATGAAGCGAGCATGGATGCATTGTAAAATTTGGAAAAATTATCTCCTCCCTTTTGCTCGTCGGTCATGGACTGAGAGGGAGTATTCAGATTTTTTTTATTTTTCTTTCATTGGGTAAATAATTGAGTAAATTCTGAACCAAATTCAGGAGTGAATTGAAATTGGTAATCATTTCCCAAAACAGACCGTGTGTGGTGTGTGGGTTCAACATTTTGTATAGTGAATCTCAAACCTGAAGCTAGTTAGGCAAGCTACGAATTCACACTCATAATGCACAAAAGCACTACACATATTTTGGAACATATATGTCACGCTTGTGTACTAGTCTACTAGACCTTGGAGGAAGTTGGGGCCAGTACTTGCTCCGGATGGAGTTTGATTATCAATGTAGTATTTAGATGGCATCACATGAGGTCTGATATGGAAGGCATTGTAGACCACCCGTTTGAAGTTGGTGTATTTAGACCTGTGACTCCATATTTGATTCAGGAGAGGCTAGTCTAAATATTAAATGTAGATATTGCCTCTTAAGCAATGAGCATATGAAATTGCACTCGTCTCTTGCTTAAATCTTTTCAAGAAGCAAGTCTTTTTATAATGACATTCAGTGTAAATGAAGTTACAAACTATATATTTATTCATTCAAATATGAATGCAAAGTAAAACCTCCAATAATAAATAATTATACATTGATATTCATTCCTAATTATTTATTTTTCTTCTATTTGCACACTCCATTTCAATCACCAATCCTTATCAGAGTCACATGGAGGACAATTATAACACTCAAACAAGTATCACTCAGAAAACATACATGCAAATTATTCACAACTAGTATGGTGCCACTTTCACTTGTGTGGCTTGATCTCATTCTGGCATTGCAAAAGGAAAACCACCCACCCTTGTCATCTACGTCTTCAAAACACTCTCTATGAGTATAGTCATCTTATATTGGGCAATAGTTTACCTGGCCTGAGGAATAAATTCGGTATTCAGAGTCCTGGTGACCGCTTTAATTGAATCTCTAGTATCAGCAATGCTATACGTAGTCCGAGCTAATTCCATTGCTAAAGACTCCTTCAGTTCAGTCACTATCACACTTATGATTGGCCTTCTGTTGGGATTTGGAGACACACAGGACGTTGCTATTTCTACTACTTTCCAAACTGAGTTACTATCGAAGTCTCCGTCTAACCTTGAGTCAACAATGGCCTTGATATCACCTTTCGCAATCAACGAGCTAACCCATTGACTTATATGAGTCTTTTCTTGATTCTTTGTTATCACTGGTTTACTTGTGATTATCTCCAAAAGAACAACACCGAAGCTATAAACATCGCTCTTCTCTGTTAATCTATTGGTTATGTAGTACCTGCAAGACAAAGAATGTAACTCAATGTATTTTGTCAGAATTTGTGGACATAAACATAAACATAGAATCACTATATTTTCAACAAAAATGATGGATAGGAATAGGAAAATATAATTGAAGTACTCACTCAGGGTCGAGATAACCGGGAGTACCAGCAATAACAGTCGACACATGAGTTCCCCCTTCTGTTGGGATAATTTTGGATAGACCAAAATCAGATAACTTTGCTTGAAAGTGTTCATTCAACAAGATGTTTGTAGATTTTATGTCCCTGTGGAATATAGGAGGCTTGCAACCATTTTGCAGATACTCCAATCCTGAGGCCAAAAATATATTGAGAGAGGAAAGGAGGAGTTAATAAAAGACGGTAATAAGTGTACTTTCTGACCTGAGGCCGCATCCACTGCTATACGAAGTCTGTCCTCCCAGCTCAAGAATTTTGTTTTGTTGCATTTACCTGCAGAATCAAGTTCTATGACTTACTTCTATACATTTTTTTTTGTTGACTAAAAGATAATCATACGAGTCATACAGTTGCCAAGTAAGGAAATATCCAATATCCACGGTTTCGGAATACAAAACTTGTTTGGAAATTTATTGGCAATTTTTTTTTAACAATAAATTAATTTTATATGAGAAACTAACCAGAAAGATGTTCTTGTAAGTTTCCATTAGCCATGTACTCATATATGAGACCTTTATTGGTTCCTTCATTACAATAACCAATAAGGGAGGTCAAATTTTTGTGATGAACTCTCATCAGAAGTTTAACCTATAAATAAAATCACAACCATGTTTAACCATATTAATATATTCTTTTTTCTGATCATAAAATCCTAGTGCAAGGTGATTAAACAAATACCTCTGTTTGAAATTGTTGATAACCATGAACAGCTGAAGGGGAAAGCATTTTCACTGCAACAGGAGTTTCATCGATATAACCCAGATAAACTGTTCCAAACCCTCCTTTACCAACAATTGTATTGAAATTGCTGGTGATTTTCAGGACATCAGAGTATGAATATATTTGCTTTTTGAATTGCAGTAATGAATCATCTTGTTCTGTGTTTTGTGGTGAGATCTGATATTGATTCTTTTCTACCGTCAAAGCTGTTAAATATCGTACAATAGTTTTGAAAACTAACAGGTTACAATTGAGTGTGTATAGTAAATTATCAATTAAAATTACGAATCTTTTATGATTGTAGCATTACCTTTTGATTTTCTCCTTTTATTTAGAGTCCACAAAATTGCCACGGTTACTAGAAGAATCAAGACCCCACTAATTGACGCTACTAAGGGCGTAACAATGTTCTTTTTATCGTCCTTGGCATTGCATTGACCAGATTCACATAGATATGGATTTTGGCCCACACTAACATGCAAATCACAGATTTATGTTTGTAATCTCAGTAATCCTTACAAGTCATTGATAATTTCTAAAGATACTTCAATTCATTTTTCTTGTGCTGAGATATTCAATGGATCTATGGGCAAAGCATAGGCGACATCATCATTATTTAACATGTGAACTAATTCTTGGGATACAAACAAATCCCACATCGATAAAATAAGAGAAAAAATAACAACTTATAAAGTACATACATACTCCAATGAAGGAGAGACCTTTTGAGTAATGACCAAAAATAAAATTGTGAGGGATTAAGCTACGGACAATATCTTGTATAATAACCTTATAAAAATATCATAAAATAACCCCATCACTAACTTAGAAGCGTTCCGGATTCAATTCTTCTTGTGATAGAATGAAGGGCTACACCGATGATGAAAGTGGTGTATAATTTGGTGTAATCCATGATCCGATAAATTAAAAACATAATAAAAATAGCAAGTGTGATTAAGAAGATAACTGCAAAATATTAGACAGAGATAAAGAAGATTTATGTAAAAGACTAAAATATAAGCATTTGATATTCATCTCCATAAATAATGATATTTTGAATTTGAGAATTTTCAATAAGATCCATACTACCTTAATGAGAGGGGACCATCCTTAAGGGCAGGAGGAATTGAACCGGAGAGGTTATTCTTCTCCAAGTTTCTGCAGAAAACACGGAAACTATTATTTCTGATCGAGTATAAATTTGTTGCTATAGTAACCGACTATGTAACTTACATGATCTTCAAGTGTTGTAATTGAGACAGAAAAGCGGGAATTTCACCGTTTAAGCTGTTGTTTGATAAATCCCTGGAAAACATATAAGTTGCCTCTTTTAAGAGTGTTTAAATCTTGACACATGTACCAAAAGACATATTGACACACAAGTACATAGCAGAAAGAATAAAAAATTTAATAATGATTTTTTTTCTGGTCTCATCATTAGTTGGACCAGGTAAAATAAGATAGTAATAGTAATAAATAAAAAAACTGACAATATCTCCAACATGGTGAGCTTTGCGATTGAAGGGTCTATCTTTCCTGACAATCCACTTGAAGATAAATTCCTGTTTTGCACAAACAAGAGTTATTATATATGTTATGATTTCAGCTTCATAAAGCTATAATATTAATTTGAGATGCATAACTTACAAAGTTGTGATTCTTGGGGAGTCATTTTCGGAATAAGTACAATTCAGACCCTCCCACAGGTAGGCTACAGGGGCGCATGGATCACCTTGCCAATTTCTTGTCACCCCATAAACCGACTTGATGGTGGTAATTTCATCAACTATTTACTCAATAAAAAACAAAAAGATAAAGGTAGTTAAAATCATATATAATAGTGTAAATCCATGAAATGATATGAGAAATCATATTTTGGTGGCTTACCATCTCCTTCGAAGGTATCTGATTGCTGGAATTCTATTACTTTGTAAATTTCAATGGCATTGATGATGGGAGGCAGGGTTGAACTTTGGGTCATCACAAAAGTATATTTAATTTCTTTCCCGCTGATAGCTGACTGGCTGTATACAGTGAATGCACTCAGGTACGGTGGAGAAAAGTTAAGATACCATGGCTTTCCATTCTCAGTGATTGTGAATTTTCTTGTCTGATTCTTTGCTAACACTTCAAACTCAGTGAAGTGCATGTAAACATAGAATTGCTCAGTTTCATCTAGTGGCTCCCAGCTTATTACCAATGGATCACTAGCATTTGCTGGTGTAACCGCGGTGCTCAGGACAATAGCTGGCGGTTGGTAATTGTTTTGCCCTAGAGAATCAGCTGGAATCGAAGTATTTAGTTGTTTCCAATCTTGCTTGAAGTCACAGGTATCCCAGCCACGATCATAAACATCGTACTTGTACCTGTGAGAAAATCAACATATCCAATAGAATCAAGTCAATCAATTTTTTAATGCAAAAGATTTAATCCAGAAGTATGATTTCACCTGTAGCCTGTGTCGGTTGTGTTTGTACCTAAATCGCACCGCCAGTAACGTTGTAGTGATCCAACTTCAGTGACATATGTGTCCTTTTTCAAAGTTCTGATTTCTATGGATGATATAAATGGTGTCCCATTGTCTGTGTCAGCCAGACAGATATGTATATAATCCAGTGAAGGTACATGTATGATCTCATAGTCTACGTCAATGGATCCATTGTATATAGACACTGTATCCCACCTATTAGGCCCAAGAAGAAGATCAAACTCTGGTAACATGTTTTGGCCATCATAATTTCCGTACAAGAAATTAGTCCGAATCAGATAAGTAGAGCCTCTTGTGATTTTTATTTTGAAGCAGTTCCTTTTCCCTTCCGGGAAGCTTCTCACAGTCCACATCTGTCGTTGATAGCCATTTTTGAGTTCAGATACTATATTCCTGCTCACACCAGTATTTATGAAATTTGCATCTGAAATATATTTTATGCCTGTGTTGGACTCAGTATAGTTCACATCTGCAGGAGCCCCACAATCTATGCTGATGAATCCTAAAACATCAAAATGCATGTGCATGGGACTTAGGCTTCAGCTAAAGTTTTATGAAATAATGATATAATAAAGTTCATGTTTTGTTATCAAACCTGATTGGTCCTGAGCTTTAACCAGAACAGCAAGAACTAGAACTCCTTGAAAGCTAACAAGGAAACTCCTAGACATTCCCATTTCTTATCACCTTCTTGCTTTGAAGTAGAATATATATGATAAATACGAGATTGCCTTGTTGGTGTTGCAACTTATACTACAAAAGGAGTTGTGTTTTGGCGACATGGTCAATCTCAACATGGAGTTAAGTCTAACCAGTTTTTGTATTTCTTTAACACTTTGTCCCTTTCAATTTTAGTCTAATTGTTCATTCTTGCTTGCAGCTAGCGCTGTAGGAACATCCACTTGCTTATTTAGAAACTCCTGTCATGTTCATCACTTGTCACTATAAACTTCCATTATTAAAATAAGATTAAATTATATTTACGATCTTTTATTATTATTTTTTATTTCTAAAAAAGTTCATTTTAATCTTTTAGCTTTTAAGTTTAAGTAAATTTGGTCATTTTAAAACAGTAATTATTTTTTATATTTTGACATGATTTTAATTTTTTTTTTTTTTTACTAATTTGATATATAAAACTTGTCCTAATAGTTTTTTTTTTTTAATGTGAAAATTATTGAATCTAAAACATAATAAACATGATAAGAATTATGCGAATATGGATCTAACGTGCAACTTGAAAAATTATCATATTTTTTAATGATTGTTTGTGAGATTTATTTTTCACATTATTTTTGTTATACCTATATAGCATTTTTTGCTTTAAATATCATTTAAGTTTAATAATCTTTACGTAGGTAAATCTGAAATAAGTTTTACGTATTGAATTAGTAAAAAATTGATTTAAAATTGAAAATAATTATTATTTTAGAAGGACCAAATTATTAAGTTTTAAAAATAAAAGATTAAAATGAATTTTCAAAAAGATAAAAAATCAGAATGAGTTTTATAAATAAGATTAAGAGTCAAAAGAATAATTTAGCTTAAAAATAATACTACATTGTTAATCAATGTAAATGGAAATAAAAATGATTTAAAAACATATAAATTGTTGCATCTTAGCAAATATTAAATTAACAACTGTGTCCATGAATGTGATATGAAACTTTATATATGTTGGAAAGTTGGAAGGATTCTAATATTCGGCAGGTGCGACATTTTGAAATCTGATTTTTTTTTTGTTACACGACATCTGATCTTTAAACTAATGTAATGTAATCAGAAATATTTTAATTTAGTCTCTCAATATATATATTATTCTTGTTTTTTTATTCTATATAATTTTGTAAATTTTATCTTAGTCTCTACATAAATAGATGATAAAAACTAAAAAAAATTAAAAATAGTATATATAGAAAATAAAATGAAATATTTTTTATTATAAGAGTTCAAATGTAAAATTTATTAAACAAGAGGTTATTAAAACTTTATACAAATTATTAGTAGACTAATTTAGAAGACACAAATTTTGGAAAATTAATCTAATGTGTATAATAATTTAGAATGATTAATTTAAAATCTAATTCAATGTAAAATTATAATAGGATACCAATAAAGTGTGATATGATTCTTATCACTTAAATATGTGATCCAAAAATTAATTTTTTATTGATGTATATAAAAGGCGTTAGTTTTTGACTAAGGATAGGATATATATATATAGTTAATCATCTATACACTGTTAGTGTAAAGTTTTTTACACTGATAATCAATTATATTTTTTAAATTATTTTATTTTTATTATTAAATAAGCAAATAACATGACACTGTTAAAAAATATGATTGGTTACCAGTGTAAAAAAACTTTACAATGACAGTGTATAGATAATTAACTCATATATATATATATAGATGGATGCATTGATGAATAAATGAATATTGATCTAACTGGTATATTACTCATGACCCATGAGTATTAGTTACACCTTTATTAGTGTATTTATGGTTATAATATAATACACTAATAAACTACATGCAACAATATGTTAAATTTTTTAAAGGTATAACTATGTTAAGAATTGCATTTACTATAATAAATCAGGAACTTTCAAATTTCCTAGTTATTAAGCATATGTTTGGAAAATGAGAAGTAGAGAAGAAAAGTAAGGAAGAGAAGAGAATTGGTGGAAATTAGAAAATGAGTGTTATTTGATAAAAATAAAATAAAATAAAATAGTTAATAAAAAATACTACTAATAATTATAAATAATGAATATAATTTTTATTTATTATATTTAAAATAAAAGGGTGATTATGTTATATATATATATATAAGAAATAAAAAAAATTGATTTATATTTTAAATAAATTTATTTATGAATATTATATTTATTTTAAAAATATAACTATAATAAATAAATACATGAAAAAATTTATTGTTTAAATAAATTATTTATAAAATATATTTATTTGTTTATTTAAAATATTTATTTTAAAAAAAATTATGTATAAAAAAATCAATTTCCACTATGTTTCTCTTCTATTTTTCTCACACTAAACAATTTTTATTTTTACTCTATTTTATTATACTTCCTCACACTTATCTTCTTTTCCCTTCATTTATTTCTTCTTTACTAAATACAGTGTAAGAGACATTGCAGTGGAATATGTCATGGGATTATTATAACGACTAGCTAGCTTTTATATGTTCTCATATCATATATATTGGAGGAAAAAAAAACTTCAAATCATGTTCTTCGTGTTAGGATGAACTATATAAAACAATCCAAATTCGAGCTATCACATTCATTTGAAATTAGGAGATATAATTGTCGTCTTCATCATCATATTCCCTGCTTACTAAGTCTCAAGGATGTTAATCTCAAATATATGTCAAAGATAGAAAGTAAACACCCTAGTAGATCTTAAGGTATATGCCTCAACATCATATTAATCTTTCAAGAGTTTTGTCAACAAATTATTTTATTAAAAGTCTAATTCTTTTCATCACTAGATTAGTTCTTCAAAGAGTTTATTTGCGAATAATTTAATTCACATGTTACCCAATTATTGTAAAGTAAATTTTAGTTCTCTTTATGTCATGTTCTCTAATTAAAAAATAAAATAAAATAATGAAAAAAAAATCATAAACAAAAGAATAATAAGTTGACATAAATAAACAATTTGAAATGTGTGAGCACTTTGATCCAAGTAGACAACTTAAGAGAAAATAAAAGAATACGAAAAAAGTTTTTCAAGTTTTTATATTGAATATCATGGTTTACAATATTTCATCTTAAGTTATAGTTATGCATTTGAGATGTTCTTTGTATTGTCAGGAAGCTTGATAAAAGATTGTTTCTAACATAAAAATTAAAATCAATTTTATAATTGTTATTTTTAGTAAAAAAATTATCTTTTTTATTCACGCAACGGTCTACAATATTGATGTATAGTTTACACTTCTCTTGTCGTATTATTTATTGTATGCCTCCTACTGGATGCACATGTAATCCCCACTAGGCATGGCAACGGGACGGGTTTTACGTTTTTCGCTCCTGTCTTGCAAATTTAAACCAACTCCAGTCTTATTGGGGTAAAATCTGGGTTCCCATTTCCGCTCCTGGCAAGGTTTGGGTTTCCTCGCCCTGCCCCCCTCGCCCCCTCCCCCGCTCCTATTTTTTTTTCTTTTTTTTCTTCTTTTAAATAAATATGAAAAATTTAAAATAAAATAAAATAAAAATAAAATAATATAAATTTTTACATATAAATATTTTTAATTTTAGTTTATATATATAAAAATAATTTTTAATTATATTATTAAGCGGGGCATGCGCCGGGGGCAGGTATGAGGGTGGGGGCAAGGTGGGTATTAACATCCACGTCCCCGCCCTCGCCCCCAATTTTATCAATCGGGAAAAACTTGAACCCGATAAACACAGGTTTTCTCGTCTAAATTGGGACAGGTTCAGACAAGTATCCACGAGAGTGAGTTAGATTGTCATGCCTAATCCCCACATACTGTCTATGTCTTATACCGTTAAAAATGAAATCATCTCAAAATAATTTAATATTAAAAGCTTTTTAAATGAAATTCATCCAACGTTCTACAACATCAATATGTAATTATTATTATTATCTTCGTTTGTTGTATGACTCGTAGGGATGTAGATATAGCCGCTCGCACGATCTTATATCTTGAGTTGTGTGAATTATTTTTTTTTGTTCGTCCTTGGAGTATCCAAGGCCGATAGCAGTGACTAATCTCCTCGCTATGTTGGAAGTACCTCAAAAAGGGTGTGATAGTTGGTCTCAAGATTTAACGCAGCTGCATATACAAGACAGGATTCAAACCCCTGAACTTGCTTAAGCGTGGATCAACCCCTACCGCTAAACTACATGTTTGGAGTTTATGTGTGAATTATATTAGACATAATAAAATATTCATTAAAATATCTAAAAAAATAAATAATTTTTCTTTAAAAAACCTTCTGCAACGTTCCGCAACATCAATGCACAATTAACATTGTCTTCACTTGTATTATACGTCTGAGTGTACGTATAGTTGCACGCCCTATGAATTATTTTAAAAATATAATAAAATACTTATTAAAGTATTAAAATAATAAATAATTGTTAAAATTTCGCGCAACACTTTACAAAATCAATAAGTAGTTAACACTCTTAATAATTTTTTTTAAATGTTAAAAAATATTATGTACAATCTTAAAAAAAAAAACTTTTAGGTTGTAGTGACGGATCTACATATAATAGAGTGTGCTATTTTACACATACATATTTTTTTTTACATAAAAAATAATATATTTTAAAAAATAAAAATTATATTCTT